CCAATTAATGATGAATATCCGAATATTTGGTGCAGTCGGGGGCCCCATCGGAGCGCTCCCCCAGGGTGGAAGTGGTCGCTAGGCCGGAACTGCCGCATTGTTAAGGGTCGGATTATCGAGTCACGACTGTAAATGTTTTCTGCAGTTTGTTACTTTTTCTTTTATTTATTATAAATTCCCTTTTTTTAAAAATCATACACGGGCAAGTTACCATATATGGTAACTTTATTAATCTTGATTTGCAACATTTTTATTTATTTTTTTTAAGTCACAAAAAAAAAAAAACATCTCAAAATATCCTTCAATAAGGTTGAAATTTTTATTTTCCAAGTATTTCCAGGAGTGCCCTATAGAGTTAAATAATTCTTGCATTGCCCCTGATCTGTAGGAAGAGCTTCTGTTTCATTCATTCATATTGTTCAAATGTTAAACAGCAAATACCTAATTTTTTTTTACATCTCAACTCCCAACAGTAATTAATCCTGTCGTCCCTGGAGGTACCTGTACTAGGACAAGACTTATTAAAAGCACAATTGGCTGCTGTTTTATGGTAAAACAATGGTGCACATTCAGTGGAGAGGCCGACTACTGCTACTGTGACTATGGTTTACTAAGCAACAGTTGAAGTTGAAAGTCACAGTTTACTATTAATAAAACCATTACTTATGCACAAATAAAAACGCCAACTTCTGCTGGACTTTCTCTGAATCTCACTCATTGGTAAAGCACAAGAGTCTCTAATCCATAAAGCCCAGTTGCGAAGCTGTTACCGACCGAATCCAGGGGTGTTCGTACAGTAGAAAATCCAACAAATAACCTGAAACTTAAGGTTAATATGTGGATTTTGTCTTTCTGTTTGCCGTTTTTAAAACAAACATTTATTTTTTGCTTTGCCCTCAGACAGAACCTTGTAATTCCAAGCAGAGAATAATCTCCCAGCATTACAGGCTTTAATCTGAAACTCACAGAAAGCAGAATTTTAAATATGATTAGTTTATGATTTCATATTTAGAATATCCATCCATTCATCCATTAACTGCGCCCATTTTTATCTGGTAGCGGGTCACGGGGCGCTGGAGGCAGGATGTTCTTTACCGGGCCAGCACAAAGAGACCGACAAGAACACACACTCGGGCCAATTTAGAATCACCAATTACCTACCGTGCATGTCTTTGGACTGCTGGAGGATGGAGGAGCACATGGAAAGGAAGAATTTGCATAACTTCAATGTAGCCGGTCTTGTAGTCAGTTCTCTTCATGTAGATATGGCCAATAACTGGAATACCCTGCTACATGCCAAACTGACTGCAGGGTGCCATGTACAACATCACCACAAGCTGTGTTTTAACTATGATTCAGGGCGCTTTAGAGAGGATTTTTCCTGTAAAGATTAACCGTGATTGCTGTATAAAGGGCCTAAAATGTAATGCCTCCTGAGCCTGGCGCAGTCAAACGCAGCTGGGAGTTTTAAAGCCTTCGGATATGGATAAAAAGCTCACATTCTCCGTCAGACAGAAGTTTCTCTGAGTCTCGATTTTACAGACTGTGTCCTGCTCTGTTTTTCAGCCGCTGTGATGAATTAAAGGACGGCTCGGCTCGCGTCGCCCAAGTTTGATGAATTCCGTCGCCGAACGTGAGCTTGAAATTAGTCCGTCGCCGCCTCGAAGGAGAGTTTTTAATCTAATGAGCGGTGTCGGGGCTCACCTTGCGTCCTCCGGTGTTGAGCCTGAGAGGGGTCAGGTAGGGGTCGAAGATCATGTGGCTGGTTTCGATGTCGATGGGCGACTGCCTCTTCCCGATGGCGCACAGGTTCCAGGCCGAGTTCACCAGACCCCAGAAGGATGGCACTGTTGGCGGAGAAGGAGGGAAAAAAAGAGGGTAATTAGCCCGAGTGTGACTGTGTGCATGCTGCACAAGATCAAACCATAAAAAAACAGAGAGAAAGTGAGCAGATGAGCTTCGTTATGACGGGACAGGAGAAATGGGGGACGGGGAGATCTGAATTTACATATGGCTTCATTAAAAACTGACTAAAAAAAGAACTTTCATTAAAATCCCCAGGTTATTATCTGAAAGTACAACTGAGGTGGAGAGACGGACTTTATTAAAGTCTGTCGAAAAGTTCTCCCGCTAGGTTTCATTGCTTACGATCTACAGTAACGGTACCGGAAGGCCCACAAGACCGGATCAGACAAATTGAAATATCCGACCCCTGATGAAAGCCTTTAACTTTTAGAGTTCAAACGTTTGCACAATGTAGATTTACTGCAGATGATAAAACAGACGATGGAGCAGCATACTGTAATAACAATAAGAATCTAAATAAATATACAAAATGAAGCAGATTCACTGTTTATTATTATAATAAAGTGGTATTATTATGAGCTGATGCCGCTTAAAATGAGAGGAAAATGACATTTGACCTCAACTAATTATAACAAAACACGCTTTTATTTTACATATTTAATAGGCCACTTATAGCCTTTTAGTTATACAGTGTGTGGTGCAGGGCGTCATTATCTGAACTATTTGCAATCACTACATTCAGTTTGAAATAAAATAAACTATCCGAGATTAAAGCACGAGGCATAAGCTTTAATTTGAGTCGTTTGACATCAAAATAGAAAAAAAAGCTATATGTGAGATACAGTCCTTTGAGGATGCAACGCTTCAGACAGAAACATGAGAGCGAGTGTAGAAGGTTAAACCTGAGATTTAAAGAAAAAGATTCAGGAAGAAAAAAAATAAAAAAATCCACATCAGTCGGATTTGTTATTCAGCCGCATTCTAAGCTTTGATCTGTAACAAAGTCCATGTAGACTGTTTGATTTGGGATTGGTTCTCTGACTAGCGGGCTCATCGTTCTATCATTACATCCGTTTTGAGCCTGTGAAAGTCGAGCTGATGTAAAGCAGGGTTTAGCAGCCACAACAGCATTAGTGCAAAGGTGCTTGTGGTTTACTGATGAGTTTATGCAACGCTGGTAGAACGGAGGCTGCATGGTGGAGCGGTGGTTAGCATCGTTGCCTCGCAGCAAGAAGGTCGCCGGTTCGCGTCCCGGTGAGGACATCCGGGATCTTTCTGCAACTTCCTCCCACAAGGTCCAAAAACACGTTGAGGTTAATTGGTGATTCTAAATTGTCCGTAGGTGTGAATGTGTGCCTTCACCCTGAGTCAGCTGGGATACGATCCAGCCCCCCGTAACCCTAGTGAGGATTAAGCGGTGTATAGATAATGGATGAATGATAGAACGGGAGAAACAGCCAGTAGCTAAGGTGGCTAGCCCCGGCGCTAACCTTTTAACAGACAACCTAAGTTAGCAACTGATTGATACAGTATTCATACTGGGTTTGACTACTTAACATTTACATCCAATCTGTTGTTGTTCCATTCTTGTTGACA